TTGAGCACTTGTAAAACTACATAATAAACTTTATGCTCATTTAAACCATTTACAGTTTACTGCATAGTTCTGTAATGATTTACAAGTGAAATAAATCATTTTGAAATCGGATGAATCTTTTTGAATCACCCTGTATTTCAGTATGAAGTTGAGCAGCATCAGCCATTTAGGAAAACGTACAATTCCAGCAATGAACTGGTCACCTTCTCAAAAAGAATATGGGTCAATAACAAATTAAGGCTTTCAAAATAAGAACGGAAAACAATCTTTTTAAAAAGAGGATGGGCATTTTTGTGTAGAATCTGGTATTTGTTTCATTTTAATGGTATAATTCATTCTTAAACAGGATCATCCATTTTGCTACCCAGATAGGTGGATCAACAACACACTGCTTATTAATTATTATATTATATTTTTATTATTATATTTTCAAGTTATTTACCACTACTAAAATGTGTATGAACTATCCTTTGTACTTGGACACCTGTATAAACCTTTGTTCTTGAGTGTCTGTGCATACATTTTGTTTTACAAGTAAATAAATAAATGTAATAATGACACATTTTCCTGGTTTTCCTGGAGTCACACCACCTGACTTGCTAAACTGTACAGGCCTAACTCCAACGCTACTTCATTCATTCCTCCTGACCAACTGCGGGCCTACACCTCTCTTTAAAATGACTCAAATTACGGACCTATTCTGCTGCTTTCAGGTGCCGACGTTTCGTCGTTCCCCTCCTTCCTCCCCACCACCACCAGTTTGGTCCCTATCCGGTTGTCCAGAGGGTAGTCTCTGCCCCTGCCATCTTGATCCAGCAGGATCTGTGAGGGTCTTGATGCTCCAAAACCTGGACCAAGGATTGGATCTACACCAAACACGCTTAAATTTCTACCTGAATTGTTATCCTTCAACTCAAGGACTAAAATAGTCTTCCTTCACTCCTGCCTCCTTAGTCTTCCTGGTAGAACGGTTGGACGGTTGCACCACCTGACATTTTTAGACTCTGGGAGGCATAAATGTCTAAAATAATTTGTATTTTAATGAAAATCTATTCACATAAAGGAGTGTTAGATGATGTAATACATGTTATTGTATTGTATATGTATTTACTAAACTATTTCATAAGAAAACAATAACAAAAAGACTTTAGCCATCTCATAAATTCATAAAGCAATAAAAGCAATTTCTGGGTACTGCTGTATTTTGTTATGTCTTTTGGGAACTGTCCCCTTGATACAGTTAAGTTTATGGGACTGTACTTTCCAACTATTTATTTGTTACATGGCAAACAGATATATTGCAATAATTTGTTATATATATCATGAACTTAAAAATAAAAACATGTTCTAAAAATGGCTTTTACAACACAAGTATGTTTGTAACCGTATTAGAATTATTTGTATTAGAAGTATTTGTATTTGTTCACTGACAAATCAGGCACAAAGTATCGTTTTGTGGTGTATCTATACTTCCTCACCAAGTTCAAGTCCACAAATCAACAGCAAGGTCAGACAGGTCAGTCAGCTAAGCTCTTCTCCACTTTGTTGATGACAGACTCCCTCTACAGGCAGAAGGAAGTATTACACTTTATTTTACTCGCATTGATATTTGTATCGTCACTTCAATCGAATCACATCCAAGTTACAATAAATAAATACAATTTGTAACTAACATTAAAAATTGTGCGTTTCTTTCATCCGTGCAAAAGAACATGTAACTGTGGATGTTCCTCTGTTCTGGTGAGCTGAGATCAGATGTTCAGTTTCCCCTGATACGCCGATCAGACATAACATTATGACCACCTCCTTGTTTCTATGCTCATTGTCCATTTTATCTGCTCCACTTACTATATAGGTGCACTTTGTAGTTCTACAATTACAGACTGTAGTCCATCTGTTTCTCTGCATACTTTGTTAGCCCCCTTTTACCCTGTTCTTCAGTGGTCAGGACCCCCCATGGACCCTCACAGAGCAGGTACTATTCGGGTGGTGGATAATTCTCAGCACTGCAGTAACACTGATGTGGTGGTGGTGTGTTAGTGTGTGTTGTGCTGGTCTGAGTGGATCAGACACAGCAGTGTTACTGGAGTTTTTAGACACCTCAGTGTCACTGCTGGACTGAGAATAGTCCACCAACCAAAAATATCCAGCCAACAGCGTCCTGTGGGCAGCGCCTTGTGACCACTGATGAAGCACTAGAGGATGACCAACACAAACTGTGCAGCAGCAGATGAGCTATCGTCTCTAACTTTACATCAACAAGGTGGACTGACAAGGTAGGAGTGTCTAATAGAGTGGACAGTGAGTGGACACAATGTTTAAAAACTCCAGCAGGACTGCTGTGTCTGATCCACTCAGACCAGCACAACACACACTAACACACCACCACCATGTCAGTGTTACTGCAGTGCTGAGAATGATCCACCACACAAATAGTACCTGCTCTGTGAGGGTCCATGGGGGTCCTGACCACTGAAGAACAGGGTAAAGGGGGCTAACAAAGTATACAGAGAAACAGATGGACTACAGTCTGTAATTGTAGAACTACAAAGTGCACCTATATAGTAAGTGGAGCTGATAAAATGGACAATGAGTGTAGAAACAAGGAGGTGCTCATAATAACAAAAAGACTAAAATATATATATTCTGCTTCAAAGACGTTTAGCCATCTCATAAATTCATAAAGCAATAAAAGCAGTTTCTGGGTACTCATAATGTTATGCCTGATCGGTGTAAGTAGTGGATTTGAGTATAGGAAGTGAATCAGTATAGTATGTGTGAAGTTAGTCATCATAAAAGTATTAAACCATATATAAATTAAAAATAAAAAAAAAGTGCTTTGAGGTTTTCTTAAAGGAGGAAAAAGCTTGTGTGTCCACCGCCTATGACCATGCGGCATATAAGGGCTTCTTATCATGGGTGCGGGCTGACTGCTGTTTTGGTTCCACCCATTTCCCTGAGACATTATCCATTCATGATTCATCCAAGTATGCATGACTGCTTTCTTTCACCAATGACAACTCTTCTCTGGAGTGTAACTGTACAGGAGCACATGAACGGACTTAATACTGAAATGCTTACAGACCACATGGACTTACAGGGTTTATAACTATATTAGAAGTAATATGAACCAGACAAAGGGGTTTCAATGGAGAAACTCCATTAGCAGATGTCCACCCTAGGATTATATGTCTGCACAAAACTTATTTATGTTCAAATGTACTCAGAAAACCCTTCTAATGAGTGAATTCAGCCACTTTAAGGAGCACCCACTGCTGATGCACTGCCTAAGGTCACCATGCCCAATGCCAAGCATCAGAGGGGTATAAGGCCCACCCAGTGCTGGGCTGTGCAGCAGTGGAACTGTGTTCAATCAAATACCTTTGGGATAAGCTGGAGTAGAGTTTGTGACCCAGAACTAAACATCCAACATCAGTACCTGACCTGACTACTGCTCTTGAGGCTGAACGCAATCAAATCCTCATAGTAATGGTCCAACATCTAGTGTAAAGCTTTCACACAAAAGTAGAGGCTGTTACTGGAGCAAAGGGGGAGTAAACTCCCTTTTAAGCAAATTATTCCACAAAAAAAACATTTCACTTATTCCAGATGTAATCAATCAGCCAAGACGTTAGGTGTTCAAATTTTGCTTCTTTAGTTTAGCACTGGAGCAACAAAACTAACATTGCTAACACTAGAAGTCAATAGTCACCCAAATCTTGTCCAAAAATACATCCCCAAAACTCTCAAACCGCAGCCGAACGCTGGGGGCAACCATTTTAAACAGGTGCTGTGCTGAATTTTGACTCCCCTTTGTATGCATGTACATCATACAGACGTATCGATATTAGATAACATTTGTTATTTCTGTTGTTTCTATCTTCATTTAAAAAAATTCATGATCACCAGCTATTTGTAAATAGAAGCAAAAGAAATACCAAACATAATCTGTAGCATCCATACGCCTGTGACTGTGATGGGGAGGCAGAATTTGGCACATCATGTCTCTAAAACGTCTGACCCCACTGTTTGGCAAATCTTGAAGTTTTGTTAAATTTTATAGTTCACAGTAAGTCATACTGTGTTCTGAACAACATTGACAAACCTGTGTGACCTCTGTGTGACCTTAATGAAGAACTGGATGTGGTTTGAGAGAGAGGTTTTGTGCAAATCACTCATTATCTAAGCCGCTGGTCCTCCTGAGTCATGGGGGTTGCTGGAGCCTAACCCTGCGTTCTCTGGGCCTCATTCATCGTTTCTGTAGTTTTCTGATTATTCAAATGGTCATGTAAACAGCATATTTCTATTTCTTAGGAGAGTAAGGTCTAGAAATCCGATTAGGAAATCTGATAAAGAGAGCTGGATTTTAGCTCAGTAATTAGATTTCTCAATGCATGTAAACTGTTACTCAGATTTTTTTCAGATTTCTCAGTCTGAGCATGTGTGAAAACAGACCACGGTACCGGAAATAAGCAAGCAGTATTGCAGTGAGACAAAACAAAACACTTTTGGAGTGATAACAACTGAAAACAACTACAGCTTGATGAAATAAAGGATTTAAATATTCTTCATCTTCTAGATGACGTATGTTCATATTTTCAGGTAAAGTGGCGCAATGTTTTTTAACAAATAAGGCCACAGCATGAAGTTTGAGTTTTACATTACGTTTACATCACGTCTTCTTCTGTGAGTTTATTTGCTGGTTGCAAAGCAGAAATCTGACCCATTATCTGATTACTCAAGTGCATATAAACGCACTGATCGGATTACTAACAAAATCTGATTTTCTGCAGTTATCAGATTATTAAGTGCATTTAAATGTACTCAATGTGTTCTTATTTGGGATTTGCTCTTAGATAGCAACAGAATCTGCACACACTTAAGAGCACGAAGCTGCAAACAACTATGCAGTTTAAGAACACATCATGAATCTGATGTAGACTTTTTCTTAGGATCTTTCTCAAGAACAATTTTAAGAAAAACCTAGGAAGATACTGGTGAATGAGGCCCATTGTGTGGAATTTAGGGCATATATTGACAGAAAAGATTTGGGTGACTGTTGACTTCTAGTGTTTGTTAGCAACTTTAGTCTTGTAGCCAAAGTAAAGCATAAAAAATTTAGATCCCAAATATTTCTTGGCTGATCGACTATGTCTGGGGTGAGTGGAAAACGGTGTCAATTAGTTTTTTTGACGCAACTTTCCTTTAATACCCCTGATTTCTAAAGAAACGTTGGGCGAGCAGGTCCCTACAAACATTTGGACATATAGGGCTGGCTTCCTAGAACCTGATTAAGCCAAGGCTTAGACTAAAATGGTGATTTACCATTGGCACTGCAATTTGGTCCAAGACAACGCTTAATGCATGTTTGGGAAAATTAACCCTAGTGCATAATACAGGCTGGGCCACCTGGAGTGTCAAGATCTCTTGAACTGTAAACTAACTGGATTATTTTATAAATAAAACCTGGTCAGAGTTCCTAAAAGCATGTCTATCCATCCAGGGGGCAGTCATGGAGGTTAGGGAACCAGCCCGGTGACTGGAAGGTTGCCAGTTTGATCCCCTGAGCAGACAGTACATGACTGAGGGCACCTAACCCCCAACTGCTCGATGGGCACTGTGGATAGGGCTGCCCACTGCTTCTGGGCATTTGTGCTCACTGCCCCCTAGTGTGTGTGCATTCACTAGTGTGTGTGTGTGGTGTTTCACTACACGGATAGGTCAAACGCGGAGGTGAAATTTCCCCGTTGTGGGACTAATAAGGGTCACTTAGTCTAATCTAACTCTACAGTACTGTCTTTATATCTAACATGGTCATAGGTGGTCACAAATTCACAAAAGTCGACAGTGCAGCGTTTTAGAAGGTTGCAAAGGCTTTTGACCTCATAAAATTTAAGATCTCACCATCAAAACTGAGCTAACGTGCATACACCTTCTCAAACTATGACAGCATTTTAAAAAGCAGAGAGAATTCAACAGTCTTGTAGGGGTTAAAGGGAAAAAAAATAAAAATCAAGGCCTCTTGAGTAGCCTGATCTCCATTTTAAGGTAAGTCTTGAGGTTCTCATCCTGAATGTTCTCCTCTATGGCAGCCAGAGCTTTCTCTCCACCGTCACTGTAGTATTTCAGCAGCTGCTCAGCGTACTCAATCCAGACACAGTTATGGCAGCCACTCATGCAGCAACAAGTGGGAGGGGGAGGAGGTCCCGGGCGTGCAGGCTCAGAAGGACACTGTCCATTCTCTGCTGTTTTGTCTGTGAATGAACTTGCTGAGGCAGCAGATGTGGCTGGAGTTGGATCGTCCAGGTTTCTGCACTGGAGCTGATGAGTGGCACAGTGTAGAGGTCTGTTTTGGGTGAGCATGGCACTGATGAAGGGCTTCTTTCTTAAGGGGGTCAGGTGTAAGATCTGCAGCTGCGGAGAAAGACAGCATATTTTAGTAAGTTACAGTGACTGATTTCTTCATTCTAGGGATGTTTTAGACTTGGACAATCATCATAATAAACCATAATCAAGCACATTTTATGTTAAACACATTCACTGCTAATAAAAAGGTAATGACAAGCTTATGCAACTCAAAGGTTATCTAACGATGTTGTCACAGGGCATGACAAAAAAAGCCACAAAGGTTGGTGCCACTGCCAGTTATTAAAAATGGAGCACCCACAAGACATTTTGGGCTAAATATGGGTGGGAACAATGAGGATGGATACAAATGGAGTGTGAACACCTAGCCTGTCATTAGTCCATCCATAGAATAATAGAAAAAACAAAACAGAAAAAGCCCCCCATAAAACGCCAAATAAGCACATGGACGTGTGTCGTGTGTGTGGAGGACAAACTGCATGCAGTAAAAAATAAACATTACTTATAGGAAAGTAAAAACAGTTGCACTGTTAGAAGTAAAGGTTCTGTGCAGGTATCTTTTGTTCATCAAGGTCCAAACAATGTAAATGTTCCCCCAAAAGGTACGACAGAGGTTTTAAGGTCCAACTGTGAACCTTAAATAAGCTTTTCCAGGTGAAAGTACAAATTTGTACCTTTTCATAACCTAAATTTTTAAAACATAACAATAAAATAAAAGCCTGGAGACGAGACGGGGTGTGTGGAGTCAACACAACTTAGAAAATATGATTTCAATGAACTATGGTACAGTTATGTTCCCTGACTAAAGGTACTGAGATGGACCCTTGAGGGTTCCACCCCAGTGACAAGAGGGGTCCTGCCCCAGTGACAGTTTCATACCTTTATTCCTGAGAATGTACATTTGCCAACAACCATATTTTGCTTGTGTTATAGACTGTACTCCAGATGGTAAAAGAGCACGGACTAGTGGAGTTTAGGAGCAGGCTTTAGTGAGGATGTACTCTTGTCAGTGTTGGATTGCTTCACAATTTGGCATCAAAAATGTAATAAGTTGCCCCCAGATATTCATTCATGTTATAAGATTACATCTGACCTCATGAGACTAGGCAGTAACGTATTTAAAAGTAGCTCAATTCAACTCAAGAAGGGGTTTCTGGATACTTTTGGACATGTAGTGTATCTGCTACCCTCAATTTTGCCTAATCTACAGCCCACGGCCTCACTAAATACAGTGACTTGCATGTGGATCCACATGGCTAACAGATCAGGCAAAATCAAGGTAAGCAAATAAGAAAAGACAGTTCATTATACTACTAGGATGAAGCCTGTGAGGCCATGAGATGTGGACTGAGTTGTGCTGGTCTGAGTGGATCAGACACAGCAGTGCTGCTGGAGTTTTTAAACACCTCAGCGTCACTGCAGGACTGAGAATACATCTACAAGGTGGACTGACAAGGTAGGAGTGTCTAATAGACTGGACAGTGAGTGGACACAGTGTTTAAAAACTCCAGCAGCACTGCTGTGTCTGATCCACTCAGAACAGCACAACACACACTAACACACCACCACCACGTCAGTGTTACTGCAGTGCTGAGAATGATCCACCACCCAAATAGTACCTGCTCTGTGAGGGTCCATGGGGGTCCTGACCACTGAAGAACAGGGTAAAAGGGGGCTAATAAAGTATGCAGAGAAACAGATGGACTACAGTCTGTAATTGTAGAACTACAAAGTGCACCTATATAGTAAGTGGAGCTGATAAAATGGAGAATCAGCGTAGAAACAAGGAGGTGGTCATAATGTTATGTCTGATCTGTGTGTATCTAGGTAGGATAAATTGCTAACCTAAATCACTTCATCAGAAAATGTTACCAGCAGTAAAAGAACAATTAGGATAATTCAATAGCCTATGTCACCATAATATTAAGCTGAATCTGTACTAAATTAACATTACAACGTGTGAAACACTAAGTTACTGCACCACAGTAATGATATACACATGCTCGGTAGGACAAATAGTCAGAAAATTGGAAAACAGCACACAGTTATTTCCAGAAACATCACACAAATGAAGACAGCTGCTCTGCTGCATCCTTGTTTAGAGCAGTTAGCCATTAGGCTAACCAGCTAAAGACACCCACCCTCTGCAGACACGCCGAAGCTTTCTTCAGAGACATCCTGTAAACAGAGCAGAGCTTAACGAATCTGTCGGAGCTGCTCCATACTGTCATGTCTTTTAAAATACAGCATAGTTGTCCGTAAAGCTGTATTTTAACCTTGTAGAATTAGCCTGACTCGAGCAGGACGCGTCCATTTTTAAACAGAAATGACGTCGGTCTGTGGGGACGGAGAAGATTCGGTTCATTGAATCGACTCTTTCGAACTCTCCGTTTGAACGAACCGCAGAAAACTAGCGATTTACGTTCAGTTTATATTCCACCGTCTATCCACCAGGTGTAAACTGAGATAGGGTAGCTTTCAGCTTCATTTCTGACAGCACGAATCAGCTCTAACATCCATAACTTAAGCTAAGAAAGACAGAAAGACTGATTCAAAACCTTCTACTGTGAAGCTGTTGCTGTGTCGGTTGGCCAAAAACCGTTATTTTCAAAATGCTGCCGCACGTTTGGTCGTCGTGAGGAAACAAACAAACAAACAGACAATGCATGTTTAGTCTTATTCAGATCTTTTTTTAATCCCTTTAACATTTAAAACGTAAAAAGCTCAGATTAACAATGCATGTTTTCATCGGATCCTGATTAATAATTGATTCAAAATTTCTCATCTAATTCCTAAAAACTTCATACACAAACTTTATAAATCTCGAATTCACGCAGGAACGGTGGTTGTTCCATGTAAGCTAAGCCTGCTGGTACTGACCGAGTGTTAACACGCTGCAATGCCAAAGTTTTTACACTAGAGGTCGTAAGAGACTGGGTCCTGCATCTGGCAGGCCAAACACATTGAACTCCACCGATTTTTCAAAATTTCTCTATAATGAAACGGTTAACATGTCAACAAAATAATTCAGAATGCTGAACGACTTTGTTGCGCAATGCTTTGTTTTAGAGAGACATTAAACTCCTCAGACGTCTGGTTTCAAATAATTCCACTGTGAAGTAATAGGAACCAGACGTCAGGGGAGTTTAATGCCTCTAAAAGCTCCCTCACTGAAAGCTGTTACATGAAATGGTTATCAATACGTTCCCGGATGTCTGTGACAGTAGCTTTGTGATAAGCTTTTGATCTATAACGAATTTTAATACATTTATTTTAATTTATTCATGGTGGAGGGATAAATGAAGGGTGTTCTAAGGCAAAATAATCCCCAAAGAAAACTTTTTTTCCCATATTCACTATTTTACTATTATCAGCTTTACATAAAAGCCTCAGAAGACACGTGTAGGTTCACTGGTGGTTTTGGATAGTATATAAAAGGGCTATATTTGCATTGTAGACATCGGGACTCTGGTTCCTATCACCACAACTGTAAAGAAATCTAAATCTGTAAGTTTCTCTGCAAATGAACCACTTCACATCAAACCACTCTGAATGGCTTTGTTTATATTTCAACCACTGCATTATACAGATATTATGAAACATTGGTGGAATTCCCCTTTAATAAAAGGCCAGTTCTCTTACTAGTATTGCATTACGCTGATGAAAAATCACGTAAAGTCTACTGACCTACTGGTCATATCGACCTCTTGTTCCTACTGAAACATAAACATAAGATTTGAGTTGATACTTCCAAAAAAAGAAGTCTAACATTAATTTTTAGGTGATTAACCTATACTGGACCCCTTGCCCCCCTAGGGGCATTGGTGGGCATGGGTTTGTTTCCTACATTCATGCAGAAAGAGAGAGGCAGACACAGCGGTATTCACGCCTACATGTTGGTAGCAAGAAATCTTTTCATTCCCTACACAGTAGTAGTCAAAATATTAATAAAAATATCTGATGTCTGGTACAAAATATATGCATTTTGGAGACTCAAATAGCATTGAAATGCATTTGGACTCAAATGGTTAAAAGATATGTGAAATATCAACATGTTCGCATACCGCAGCAGCAAAATACTTTTAGAAATGCCTTAAAGGGCTTTATTACACATTCCCAACCTAAATCTGTGACTACAGTAAACAACCTCTCTGAAAATAAATTCTGCTGTAATTCTGCCAGTAACATTTTTGGGGATGTTCCAATGTAGAAATTATCCCAGGGTCCTGGGATACTCAACGTCTGATGGATCCCATGATGCTAAATGTAGGGGATGAAGGCATTGTAAACCTAACCGACCTACAGTAAAAATGTAATTCTGGCTCTCCAACCACTCCAACATTACAACCTTCACAGCCTGTGTGTGAAGAGAAGCTGTCTCTATTACTGAATCACTAACCGATGTTAAATGGTGGTTTTTAAATGCCAGCCCTTTTGTCGGAGGTCACTTGTCATACATTTGTGAACGTTTGTGTATGCAGCCAGTCACTTAGCAGCAGCGTATGTTTACCTGTGACCTGGCAAGTTTTCAGGAAGAGTTAAGTGTCCTAAAGACTCTGCCAAAAACTTGAATGAAGCCATCATGAGCTGAGTCTGTTTACCAAATAACAGACAGTCAAATTATACTATTTTAGTCAAAAATAAACAATTCTATTAAAATCTTAAAATCAGTAAACATGTCATTGGTTGAAGGCATTGTGGCTACATTTAAGTAACATTAATTTGATCTGATGTCAGCATATGGATCTTGTTTTTAAGCATTTTCTTAAAATGTTATTTGGTATAAAATGTCTTGAAATGAGAATGTTTGAACAAGCCTGAAGCTCAATACTACTGAAACTTTGAAAAGAGTCTTTAAAGCTGTCTTATCAATTCTCTCATGCTTAAAATAAGATACATTCCTGAAAACACTTCTCAAAATAAGGCATTAAATATTCAAAAAAGAAGACACATATAAAAATTAACTGCTTTATTAATTCCAGTGAGAAGGAACAAACATATGCTCACGTGTTGACGTTGCAAAAGAAAGGAAACGAAATCTTGGCAAGCCAGAAAAGAGGCCTACTTCACATTTTTACACTATACCAGCACATTTCAAAATCCCAAAATCCCAGTCACTCCATTTCTTTCCCTTTTTTAACTCTGTGTTTCACAGTTTCCTGGATTACCATAACAGACTCGGAAGGTTTGAAGCTAATCATGAAACCATCCTGCGCTCAGAGAGAAGCAGTTTAAATCAGCGACTGGTCAGTTTACAATGGAAAGAAAAGCACCATTATGCTCTTTAATAAGGACATAGACTCTCTGAAGTGGCAGGCCTTTGTTAAGTTATGGATGGTGCGGCTTTTTGGTTATCCACCCTGTTAACCCCTCAGTGAAGCATGACAGCGTTTGTGTGTGTGAGCCAGCATGAGAATGGCACTTAGTAACTCCCACAGGTCTGCAGAAGCATGTCCATAGAAACGACACACGGCACCTCAGGAGACCTGCAGGCTGCACCCACGTCAGTTCCTCGTGCTGATGCCTGTAATTTGTGTTCTGCTCTTGAGCCAAGCAGCACAGCTATAGAATTAGAAGCCTAATTATACAGCTGCAAGTTGGCACCCGCATCTCATTTATCCTGGGACAGCACCCTCGACAAAGATGAACCTTCTCACTGACTCTGCTGTTATTAAAGGACTAGTTTTCCCCTTACTCGAATTGTAATCGATTAGCCAAGACATGTTTGGTGTCTGACGGTTTTAGTTTTTCAGTTTTACTGCAGGGCTAATGTAGCTAATGAGTCATGGAAATCAATCAGCATTGTGCAAACTGAAGCTCTAAATCATCACACACTTGCCTCAAACCGTGTCACGTCGTTAAGTAATCTCAAACAGACTTACTTAGGTGGTTTCTGACACTGTATGACATACTGGTATAAATAAAAATGAAGAAATACACATTTAAGGTTGCCAGGTGTCCAGTTTTCACTCCGGGACGGAGTAGAAAATCCAGTCTAGTCTCACTCTGCATTCCATTCGTTGAAGTACATGAAGTCCTAGCTTTGTTCGTGCATCTCACACACATGCACATGCATGCACACACACTCTAGGCTTTTGCTGGTGTATTTTCCACCAATCACAAGTGATCATGTCACCCCATGTAGGGGTTTCCAATTGCGGGTGGTCTGATTCTCAAACTGTTATATCGCTGTTGTCGAAACAAAACCTTGTATCTCCAAAATGATTAACTTACAGGAGAAGGACAAAACCTTCTTTACTCTGAATGTACGTCAATGGAGCCAGACTTTTTTCCAAGTAATGTTTGGCCATTTCTTTTGATTCATTCATCATAAATTTATATAAAATTTAAAGGGCAACAGACATTTTCAAATGATGTCAAAAACTGAAAAACGCCAAAAATGAAGATATGAGGTTTTGTCCCGACAGCAGCGATATGCTGTATGCAACATGTCAAATTAGTGAACCACCAGTGGGGCCTTTTAGAGCTGAGGATTTTAAAAATATTATCAATATTGATATTAATATCTTATAAGGCATTCTTATTCTACATTTTTCTTGTATTTCATTTTTTTCCCTTGAGGTTCATTTATACACTCTCAGAAAAAAAGGTACTAAACTGTCACTGGGGCAGTACCCCTCCTGTCACTGGGGTGGTTCCCTCAAGGGTACACCTCAGTACATTCAGTCAGGGAACATAACTGTACTATAATCCCTTGAAATGATACTGTCCAAGTTGTATTAACTCCACACACCCCGTCTCGTCTCCAGGCTTTTTATTTTATTGATCTGTTTCAAATCATTTGGTTATGAACAGGTACAAATATGTACTTTTCACCTGGAAAAACTTATTTAAGGTTCACAACTGGACCTTAAAACCACTGTTGTACCTTTGTGGCTACATTTACACTGTTTGTACCTTGATGAACGACAAATGTACCTGTGCAGAATCTTTATTTCTAAAAGTGTAACATGTATGAGGTTTATGTAAATATGATGTAAATGAAATGAGAAAAGGTCTGCTTTTGCAACTTAGTTTCCATTTTAGACTGTATGAACTGGGTAGAGATGGACTGGGTAACTGACAATGTTTACATATCACTTCAAGCTCCAAAAAAATGAGGGAAATTAAATTGTCCATGAAAAGGGCCCTTTAAATACTGATTTCTTAACAATCTTTTTCTGATACCGTCTTTTAAACTATAAACAGAATTTGGGTGTAGCTTAAACCACAGATGAGCATGAACTGAGTATTTACTGATTGTAATGGATTACAGACTGCAGAGCTGTGATGCTAATAACGTGTACAGAATGTATTTTAGACAGC